AAGAACCATGATCATTGTTATAATTACATGTGTTATATTATTATTATTATTTCATACAAGATTAAAAAACAACATTAATAATATCATGTGTGTCATATAATTATTAATGAATGCTTGATCAAATAATGATCATCAATTTCTGTTATTCACAACCTCCAGAAGAAGGTATAAGTATAATGGTTAAGGCAACTTTAAACAAAGATTTCGAATGAAATGTGGACAAACACATGTATTATCTTATTATTATAGGTATGGTGATATGAAGACTCAGCCCACTAGTTCGCGTGAAAATTTGAAGATTTGGGAGGATCGAAAATCAAGGAATGATACTATTCAACGTCATGTGAGAAGACACTCAACTATATTGGATTCATCACATTAGAAGACCTCATCAAGTTATGTATTGAGGTCTTCTAATGTATGTGTATATATATATATATCGAAAGTTGATAGATGCATTACTCTTTTTCCTTCAATAGGTCTTTATCTCACATGGTTTTTCTTAATAAAGTTTTAACGAGGCAAAGTTTTCGATAATGGACATCCAAGGGGGAGTGTTATGATATATTTATGAAAATCCATTATCCTCCTTGTATCATTACGGAATATTCTAGATCTAAAATTTATATCGTATCCAACCAAACTCTAATTATATTATATGTATATATATACCCTATTATATGGAATAAAGACATACATATTAATTATCTCTCAATCTCTTATGTTTCTCTTTATTTTACAACAATCTGCAATTTATGCAATTTATTATCACTAGAATGTACACATGCTAATACATGAGATATATGGATCAAAATTAAGTAATGTATGTTTTAAAAAAAAAAAAAAAAAATTAGTAAAGTGAAGTTATAGATTTATTTATTTATTTATTTATTTTGAAAGGAAGTTGTGGTTTAATTTATTTATTTTTTTAAGTTAATTATTTGGAGTTGTGGAAAGGAAGTTATGGTTTTATTTTTAAAAAAGGTTAATTAGTTGGAGTTGTGAGAGTTATTTTCTAAAAGGAAAAAAAATGCATAAGAATTGAGAGTTTAGGGTTTTTGAGAGTTGAGGTTAAGTGCTGCAAAATAACTCTTTGATTATATAAAAGATTCATTAGTAAACCCCAATATAAAAAGTCAATGTACTAAGTGTAATCTTGTATATTAAAAAATGTACACATAGATAAATTAAAATTATACATAAGAAAATTTTATCATGCAAAAAGAGAGATCGTTATAAGTGATTTTCATGTCATGGTAAAAATTACTTCTGGCAACTTTATTAGATTGCCACGTTAAATACTTCTAGAGTTCTCGTGACATAAATTGTGGCAAAAATACTTGTTTGTAGAGGTGATTAAGATTAGCCCGACCCGATTTTGGACATAATTTTTCGGCCCGACTTGTAAATTTATTTTTTTTGGGCGGGTTTGGAAATGCATATTTAGTTGATTTTTAGGCCCAACCCAAAAATGGCCCGAAAAGCCCACACGATGCGACCTTTTTGGACGGGTTTGGGCACAAAAATTCCGGCCCGAGAAGTGGACTTAATTTTTTAGCTTTGACCTGGTTCACCCAATTATCATCTCTAAAACTTTTTTGCCGTGGCGTAATTCGTGGCGAAAGTATTTACTTGCCACAAAATTTGTTTACCCGGGCATAAATTTTGGTTGTCACCTTTAGTTTGTAGAAAATTCTATTTTTATCCGTGGTAAGCTTTAAAATTGCCAAAAAAATTTGAAAACCCGTAGCATAATTTGTGGCCCAAGTGATGATTTGTGTAATACCCCCGATTTACTAACTAATAATAAACAAGAATTAAAGGAAAAATAAACAACCTTTGAATAAAATTGCGGAAGCATACACCTAAATCAGAGGTATTACCGCCACACTCGACAACCTGTCAAGTGTTAAGGCTTACAAAATCCCAATAAACTAAGTGAGCTATTTATACAACTTTATAAACTCGTTATAACAAACTAATCGAAACACTTGAGCTCCTTTAGCTACGACCACTTGATCAACCTTTTAGACAAACTTGACTGCTCACCATTAAGGACAAATTCCAAAATAGATCGTGGCACGGCCACCATAAGAAAAATATATGGCCGCAAACACAAGTAGCACAACAAAATAACACACACGTCTGTAAAAGCTGAGTAATCATCACCACATATCAGAATATAGAGTATAATTGAATAATTGACAATACTAGTTCAATTAAACAATGTAGTTCGAAACTACATTACACATTGTACTCTGAAAAATAACCTTTATCAACTCAACCTCGAATAATAATTCGATCCTTCACTCAATTAACTCATAACCAATAAGTGTGTCATGCTCTTTGTTCTATACCTAGCCTTGGACATGAGTAATTCGAATAACAAACCAACAAGTATAAAAACTTGAATACTCTCAATAACCAGAAAACACCTTGAACCAGACCACATACGGGCCAATTTCCACTGTAGGGGACCATAAAAAAATAAATAATAAAGATTGTACCTCAGTCTTAACTCATGATTATCATCTCCTTACCAAAATGCCAAGGACTAAGGTATATAACGTCGAGCCTCAAACCAAGAACAAATTATAAAATAATAATTCCTCAACCTTTTGATCTCATATATCGATCAAATAATTATTCATAAACAATCTCAACAATGGCACATGTTATCAAATAACATAACAATTCGATTCATAAATATCTCAACTCTTAGGGTAATAATACTAGCACCCAAAATAGTTAACTCACAACCCAAAAATAATACACTGCATTAATAACCCTAAAACCTCAATAAAACAATACTCCATATACCAACAACATTAAAACCCTAAAAAAATGTACAATTAATTATGTACAACATAAATAATATGATATTCAAATCAAATCAAATCATATAATACCACGCACTTATATATATATGTAAATCTTGATCATATAAATAACAAAATTATAAATTTTACATATGATAATACAAAATACAAACAATACAACAATAATTAATAATTAAACAACTTCGGCAACATGCATGTGATTACCTTTGCAACACCAAATCATGGATAATGCTGATCATTGAATTTAGGAAAAGGTTAAAAGAATTTAAACAAAATTCATCATTATCAACAATGAAGAATGACGATCGTCTGGCTGCCGAAACTCACACATGTGCCGCAAGCTTCGAATAGAGGAACATGAGCATAATGGAAATTATCACACTCCCTTTGCTTTATACTTTATATATATATATAATTTTTTTTGGTAAAGGGGTTTAAATAATTTATGTACTCTTTAAACTGTACAATGCTATTGAAATAAAATAGGGTTTTATAACTTTCCGAACACTAAAATAAAAACACGAGATGAGGAAAGTTATTTAATAAATAAAGGACACTTTGTAAAAAACTACCTTTTAAAGCATTTTTTTTGCGAGAAACTACCTTATAAAAAAAATGTTGTAAAAAACTACCTTATAAAAGCTAAATGTTGTAAGCCCCTTGGTCGGAAAGTGAGAGTTGACTAAATTTTTCCGACGTTGACCAAGTCATGTGCCGGTCACATGACATTTAATTCATCTTGGGTATTATATGGATAGGCTCGGGGAAAATTAGGGGAAAATGGGGAAGGATGAATTAAACGTCACGTGACCGGCACTGACTAGGTCAACGCCGGAAAAATTAAGTCAACTCTCACTTTCCGACCAAGGGTAGTATCTTACAGCATTTAGCTTTTATAAGGTAGTTTTTTACAACATTTTTTTTATAAGGTAGTTTCTCGCAAAAAAAAATGCTTTAAAAGGTAGTTTCTTACAAAATATCCATAAATAAAAGTAAATTATTATTTTTAATAAAATATATTATATAAAATCATAAAATATTCGGGTATTACAATCTACCCTCCTTAAAACAAGTTTCATCCCGAAACTTACTGTAGAAAAATAACTTAATTGTAATTTTGAAAGAAAGTAAAACTAAATCAAACTTTTCTTTTAAAAAAAATAGATAGAGTACTAAAATATTAAGGGTATTACAATTTGTAAGTAGTGTCATCTCTTTTCTTCAATTATCTTTGGCTCCAAAGCTTCGAATAACTTGATGACTGATGATAATGTAGTGGCGAATCTTGGACAAAACAAAGAGTATAGCATACACACTTATCATAACGTGTATCGTGACATTCTTTATTATGAAAAGTGTAACATCTATAACAAATAGAAGATAAATACGAAGTAATATTAATGAATTATCCACTTGTCAAATCCCCCAAATATAGATTAAATAATGTTGTGGCTGACAAAGAAATACAAATATAAATTGAATTACAATTTTAGAAAAAACATAAAAAAAAAATAAATAAATAAAAAAAAAAAAAAAAAAAACTCTAAGTAGTAAAAAATATTAACACATAAAGGTCACAATATAATGTAATGGTCATTAGTACTATGATAACTTGAGAATCAGAATGAGTTGGACTTAATTACTTGTTTTTTTAGTTGAATAATAATTTGATATTTGAACATAAGAGAATGAACAAGATGTTAAGTTTAAAAAAAATAGTAAAAAAGATACGAATTTAAAAGCTTAATATACTAACTATAGATGCAAGTGTTACTCACCCACCATAACCTTGGTATGTGGCATGAGATTAATTCGGATGTAACTGGGGTTAAAATAATTTTGTGAATCAAGTGCGCTTCCTAAGAAAATTTGCAAGAGATATACGAGTACTTTTTATTTTCTTCCAACGAATTCACGACAAATTCCAAGAAGGCAGTAATTAAAATGCTTAATACCATATGCATTTATGCTTGTATTTTGATGGATGGATAAATTAAAAAATCCAATTTTAAACAATATCTACCACCGATGTTGGTTGCTAGGTTGTAATACTAATTATATAGGTACATTGGAGAAGGATATCAAATTAAGCCAATTAAATTTGTATATAAATAGACGGAGAATCCCTTATATAAGAAAAACATTTCTAAATTATTTAATAGTCTTCAAAATCTATCACTCGAAATGGAGGGGAAAATGGTTTTCTACAAATCCAAGAAGAATGTAGTAGCCATTCTTTTCATCCTAACTCTAGGTAATATAAGTAATTTATTTGTAATCAAATATGGTGTAATTAATTAGTCCATTATATTTTTGTGGGTGTTTCGATCATTATTAGATAAATTTTATCATTTAAGTACTAATGATTTATTCGACACAATAGTTGATAATTGATGACGATATTGAGAATGAATTTGAGTGTAATTTTGACAAGAAATAAGGTAACATCATAATTAACATGGTTTTTATAATAAATAAGGTCAATTAACTTAGCATTATGTACCATGGACCCGAGTGTTTGAATTGAATCTCTTAACTAAACTTACAACACAAATTCATGTTGATTACCTTGATTTATTATTGCATACGTATACCAAATAGATCGTAAGATTATTAACTCTACAAATTTATGCTATGTATGAAAATTTTGCAGTGCAAATCATGGTTGATAAAACTGAGTGTTGCGTATTACCGGAGAAAAATGTAAAACTTTCTTATTTTTACAAACTTGTTGTCCGGGATATAGGTGCAGCAAAGGTGCTGGTCACAAATGTGTAGAAGGTAAGTGACAAACTATGTCATTATTTTCTTATGATATAAGTAATTGAATTGTGATAATTTGTTTTTTTAGCAACAAATTGTGATGATTTGGTTCAAATCAAATCATTTTGTGTTGAGTCAGATTTTGACACTTTTACTCCTTATGCAATATGGTTCGTAAAACTTTGTTTGTAGACCCCAAGCAACATTGCACGCCTGCGGGGGATCTTGCTCCGGGCCAACCGCCTTCGTATGCTGTGGAAGAAACTATTGTGATGAGAAAAGTAATACATGTCAACCTTATGCATGGTTATCACAAGGCTCGTTTATGTGGAGCTTTATTTCATTTGAGTTTGTTAGATTGGCTATTTTAATGGTTGTTCAAGCTAATAATAAGAAATATTGACTAAAGATATAAAGTACTCTTTTATCATTGTAACACTAATTTACAAAATCAATATTATAATACACTCAAATTTTTTCATGTGTGATTTGAAAAATATAAGAGTAAAAACATTCGAATTAATGTAAGATTTTGTTTAAATTTAATCAATAACATAAAATTAAAACAAACACCAAGAATGACACATGTCACTTTCCGGTGCTGTTATTTTCCTTCCAAAATATTTGTTTTTCTTTTATTTTTTTAATTATTATATATCAAATATATATTTGAATATATTTTGATATAAATATTTTAAACATATAAATATCATAATAGGAAACATTATATAACAATGAATATATTTGATTCGAAATCATAATAAATTGATTCTTTATAATAAATTGACTCTTTAATATACACGTGTATATAATCACACTATTTTTTATTTACAATATCCTTACTATTAAACCTTTTTATTATTTAATAAATCATTACTATTAGATGAGACAAATACATTGTGTTAACATCACAATATCTTAACTATAGATGCACCATGCACGCACAATATCTTCAAAAATATCACACTCTTATATGGATTTGTTGGGATAATTCTAACATTTCTGTCAAAAGTTCATATTTAAATGACAAGTGTGCTCACTTAATTATTAATTTCAAACCTCTCAATAAAGTGAATGTTATCACAAGTGCCTATTACCCTGCTTAAGAGGAAAAAAAGTATTTATTTTGGGACTATAGTGAAAACGGTCACAACTGTCAACGGTCGCCATGTAAAAAAATATTACGACCGGTTGACGGTCGCAGATTTTTAACGGTCGTTTTATCTGTTTTCAACGACTGTTAAAAAACGGTCGCAAATATTAAAAATTGCGACCGCCTTATGAAGCGGTCGCAAATATTGAATTTAGGACCGTCATAAGCCGTCGCTAAAAGTATTTAAAAAAAAAAGAAAGAAGAAAAAGACCCACCCACCCACCCTTAACCCAGATCCACCCAAACCACCACCACTACCCACCTTAAACAACCACTAGCCGCCTCCGCCACCCTCTACCCACCATCAGCTTCGCCCACCTTTAACCACCAATACCCACCACCACCTACCCACCTTTAACCCAAAAAAACAGAAAAAAAAAATCACCTACATAATTTTGAACAAAAAGCAAACAAAAATGAAATAAAACATCATCAAACAATCTATGAAATTCGAACAAATAAAGAACAAATTCGAACAAATAAAATGCACAAAAATTATATAAAATAATCGAACAAAAATTAAATAAAAAAACGCCCAAAATGCACAAAAATTAAACAAAAAAACGAACAAAAATTAAAAAAAAAATCTCCCAATAATTATACCCCCCAAAAAATAAACCCATAACAATTAAACCCACAATTCGAACAAAAAATTCGACAAAAAAATCAAACAAAAAATCTATGAAATTTGAACAAATAAAGAACAAATTCGAACAGAATTAACAAAAACTCGAAATACACCCAAAATCAAAGGAATTCGAACGGAAACGCAATTAAAAAATCGATAACAAAATCAAACAAACATGGAAATTTGAACGGAAAACGAAATTCAACCAAAAATTCGAAAATAAACAAAATTTTCAGAAAAATAAACATACCTTTCATAATATATCTTCCTCTTTAGGTTTATATGGTCAAATTCGACCAAGAAAACTCCATATTTGGAATTTTTAAGGTCGAATTTGACCATGAATAACCATAACTCGTTTGTTGAAGAAATCCATAATTTGTTTGTCGACGAAAATACGTACACCAAAACTACAGCTCTGAAAAAAATGAAGAAGAAAAAGAGAATGAATTAAGATGGAGGGGCGTGAGAAGCGAACGAAAATGGAGAAGTCAGAAGAAGAAGAAAGGAAACAAAAGAAGTAAGGATAGAGAAGAAAGAGATGGAGGAACTTGAGAAAGAGAAGTAAGAAAAGAGCAGGAGAGAGAAAAGAAAGAGGAGGGGTGAGCGGCGTGAGGGAGTGTGAAGTAGATTAGGGTTTGTGAATAAGGTATGCTTTTATACCGTATTTTTTTAATTAAAAAAAGGTCTTTTACGACCGTTTTGCCGGTCGCAGATTATGATTATTTACGATTATGACATTTACGACCGTCTTTGCCGGTCGCAAATTATGATTATTACGATCGTCTCTTTGACGGTCGCAGATTATGACATTTACGACTGTCAGAGACGGTCGCAGATTTTGACATTTACGACCGTCTGTTTAACGGTCGCAGATTATGACATTTACGACCGTCTTTGACGGTCGCAAACGATTTATTTTAATTTGGAATTATTTTTAATTGTTCAAACATCCTAGCGACCGTCTAAAAGCTAAAAACGATCGTAAAACGGTCGCTAATTTGCGAGCGTTGTCAAAGCTGTCGTAATATTGCGACCGCATAAAAAACGGTTGCAAAATATGAATTTTGCGACCGTTTTTTAGACGGTCGTAGAAAAAACGGTCGCAATTTAGCCGAATTTTAGTAGTGTACTCTTTCCAAAGATATTTTGACCTTTCATTTGTTGAAAGTTGTTTATTGGATGATGATCCTCAGGAGCTTACAACTCCCATAATTTTAGATGAGGAGATAAAAGAAGCATTTTTCAATATGAACCCTAATAAGGCTTCGGGTTCCGATGGTTTTAGGGCCAAATTCTTTCAAGCTTATTAGTCGATATTTGAAAAGGACATCATTTTAGCTATTTATAGTTTCTTCTCTCATGGACACTTGCCTCCCTCGATAAAATCATACTACTACTGTGATTCCTAAAGTGGAAATTCCTGAAACACCAAATCCTTTTCGACCAATAAGTCTTGTTAACTCTTTATATAAGGCAATTTCTAAGATTATGGTGAATCGTCCATGCCTAATTCTACAACATGTCATCAGTTTGCAAAAATTTTTTCACTTCTAAAGATCTATCCATGACAATCTCTTCATTGTTCAAGAGGTTCCTTAATGTTTTCCAAAAATATAAAAACAAAACAGGCTGGTGTGCTTTGAAATTAGCTAGATGTGGAAAAGGCTTATGATAGGATTGAATGAAACTTCTTGTGGTCTTGCTTAAAGGCGTTTGGGTTCTTTGATTAATGGATACTTTGGAATGTAACACCCTCGATTTCCTAACCAAATAATAAATAAGAATTAAAGGAAAAATAAACAACCTTTAAATAAAATTGCAAAAGCATACACCTAAATCGGAGGTTGGTTGTTCATCGGTCTAAGACCGGACCGAACCGACCCGAATTGGACTGAAGGCCGGAAAATAGAATCTTAAGAATCGAAGACCGGATCGATTAAGCTAGGACCAAACCCGGACAGCACCGAAAGAAGCGATCTAAAACCCGAACCAACCCGCTTTAGACCAATTTAAGAGTTTTTTTTTTTAAAAAAAAAAGAATACTCCTTTCGTGTTTTTTTAAGTGTTACAGTTTGACCGACACATAGTTTTAGGCAATTTAATTGACTTAAATAAAATAAGAAGTAAGTGGGGTAGTTGGAGTATTAAAAAATTGTAAAAGAAAGATAATGGAGTTATAGTTTATTGAAAAGTAATGAATGTGAGAGGAGAGATATAATAAAAAAGTAGTAATGGGTTTGGGTGGGGACCATGAGAGGAAAGAGATATAATATTTTAATGTAGCTTTTTGGAAGGAAGTGTAACACTTATTGAAACATGGCCGGATTTGGTAAGTGTAACACTTAAAAAAACACGGAGGGAGTACTAAATTTTTAATAAAATTATGAAAAACACGAAAAGGGTAAAGGAAAAACTATATCTTAACGTCTTTTTTTGTATGTTTAATACAAAAAAACTTATAAAGTTAAAGTTTTCTAAGCTTATTAAGGATAATTTTAACCATTATTTAAGATTTCACGCATATTTTTAATAAAAAAAATTGGTCTGATCAAAAACTAGTTTTTATAGGGTTTTGGATCGGACTGAAAACCGAAAAAATGAATTTCAAGACCCGAAGGCCGGACCGATTAATCCGGCCCGGTCCGGGTTTGGTCTGAGGTGGTCTGGTCCATTTTTTCGGTCCGGGCCGATTTATGAACACCCATAATCGGAGGTATCATTTCCACACTCGACAACAAGTCAAGTGTTAAGGCTTTTAAAATCTCAATAATTACAACTCAATAAACTAGGTGAGCTATTAATACAACTTTACAAACTCGTATAACAAAATAATCGTATCACTTGAGCTCCTTTAGCTACGATCACTTAATCAACCTGCTTAGACAATCTTGACTGCTCACCATTAAGGACAAGATCGTCACAGGGCCACCATAATAAGAAAATTAAAGACATGGCCACAAACACAAGTAGCACAACAAACAAACACACACGTCAGCAAAAAGCTTAGTTGAGTAATCACCACTTATCAGAATACAAAGAATAATAGAATAATTAACATTACTAGCTTAATTACTTAAACAATGTAGTTCAAAACTACATTACACATATATACCTCAAGGGTTACAAACTTTGTATTGTGTCCAACCTCGAATAATAATACAATTTGTCACTCAATTAACTCATAACCAATAAGTGTGCCATTGTAATACCCCGTATTTTTATACGTATTTTCTAATTAATTAATTAAGAATTATTTTATTAAAAAGGGTATTTTAGTAAATTTATTATTTGGGGCCAAAATAATATTTGAATTTTGGCGCCAAAAGTATTTTGAAAACTAATCATTATTTTGGATAATATTTATCATCCATTTATCCTATTTTAAAACCGGATTATTTACATATTTCGGATATTTTAATTAAAGCAAAATAATATTTTATTATGGCCGAAATTTTCCAATGATTAGCTAGGATTTTTGGATTTTCCATGTATGGAAAATTTGATTTTTATTGATTATTTATTTGTAAATAATTGGTATTTAATTAATTAATTAATTAATTAATTATTTTATACAATTATTTTATTCCATAAAAACCGAGCAAAATCTTCCTTAATATCTTTATAGGATTCCAAAAATTTGAGCTATGGTAAGCTTAATATTTCCTGCCCTATTGAATTATTTTGGGGGAATTGATTTGGTAAAATTGTATTTTTAATTATCTCCCAAAATCTCTTATTTTCCTTAATTCTAATTCTCGATATTTTTAATATCTAATCATTATATTTTCTTGCCATTCATTCTCCTTAATTATTCCCCAAGTAATTCTAATTTCCTTATTATTTTTCATGACATACATACCTTCCATATATTAGTACACACAATCACCTTAATATCCAAACTGTCCTTAATTTTTTTACCCACTTCTCCAAGTATCCCTTAAACCCTACTTACCATAATTCTTCCTACATTTTCTTACCATAAATCATGCTTACACTAGCCTATAAATACCCCTTCAATTCAGATCATGATCAAACCTCACATAAATTCTCATAATTCTCTCTCAAATTCTCTAATTAATTTCTTACTCTTTTCTTTTTCTCCTTGCGCACCACCACCTCCACCGTGCACCACCACCTTTCGGCTGCCCACGTGCCTCCGACACCACCTGCCGCCGCCGGCAGCCCCTTGCCGCTACCTCCTTTTTCTCTTCTCCTTGGTTTCTTATATTTTCTTCTTCTTTTTTCTTATTCAATTAATTATAATTATTATGGGGAATTTATTAAAAAATTATTATGACATGTTTTAATTATATAAAATCAGATTTTTAATGGTGTTTATGATAAATCCCTACTTTATAAAAAGTAGAAAGTTGCTCTTATGAACAGTGCACGGACCTTTATACCCTTCAAAATGTTTTTTTTACCTTCTTACCCTTATTTGTAATTTTGTACCCCAACTTCTCTTACACTTTTTTTCTAGCAAATTGTTCTTAGTCGTCGATATTTCCAAGTACACTATCTCTGTTCACCATCTCCAAGTATCAAATTCTATATCTTTGTTCACCATCTTCCCAAAATTTCCAAATCAAGAACAATAAAAATCAAATTGTGACCAAAAGAAAGTTGACAATACCAAGATATAGCGGAAAAAGAAGAAATGACGAAACCTTTTCGCGGTCGACAGGCTGTAAACGAGAAAGCCTCGAGAAGGGAGGGGAAGGCGGTGGAAGAGGGCGACCGGATTTCCTGGGTGGTAGGTCACCGACCACTCCAGTAATTCTTTATCTATCCTCTCTGCTTCTTTATCTTTCCATAGCTACTCACTGATCGACTCTATGACCATGAGTATAAATGTACACATGCATTATTAACTTTTGTAATAAACATTTTAGAGTCCTATTTTGATTAGAAAATTATTACTTGTTTAGAGGGAAATCATATAAATGATGTTTGACCATTCTATCAGAGATCGATCAATTTGATTCTATTCTTTTTCTTATATCCTTTGATCCAGCTCTTTTTTAAAAAAAATTGTAATCACAATATGTAAGTTTTGATTGCAAAATTTTGTCTACGTTGTTTTTTTTTTTGTTTTTTTATTTATTTTTTTTATTTAATGTCAAGATTGCTTACCTCAGATGGTCTAAGAACTCATTGGTTAGACTGGACTTGATAGGTGGATATGGGCTGCTTTAGTATAATATATTTACAAGTACTTTCTTCTAATTTAAAAGTACAATCCTTATAGATAGTAATTTCCTTTTACAGTGATTTAAAACTATTCCATTTTATTTACTCTACATATCCTATCACTCGTTGAAAATTTTAGACTAATGTTTATAAGGCTGCAAATCTGATCTACTTCTTATCTCAGTACACTCACAACATTTCCTCTAAATTATATAATCAAAAGTAATAATTGACTGGCAATAAAGATGATAATTTTGAAATGCTTTTAATCTGCTCAATGGAGGTTAGATTTAATTCATTGTGCAACATCTAAGAAGCTTAGAATACTACAATATTGAAAAATAATTAGCAATAATTATTCCCATTTACAATTAACTGTAATTCTTTTCAAATTCTATGCATTCATTTCCTCTTATCATTTCAATTCAATTCTAATTAAAACCAAGCTCAAGAATTTGCTAGAGTTTGTAACTGATTTTCATTTACTATAAGCCCAGTAGTTGCAGCCTTCACACACTTATGCCCAACCGTATCACATACAAAGGTAGCATATGATTTCTTCCTTGAACCTAAAATACCTGCATTCTTTGCCTAATTTTGAAATAATAAAATATGTAGGCTTCTCTCTTGCAAGCTCCATGTCAACTAATATCATCTTAGAGCCTACTGTAAGGAAGCAAATGGCTATTAACCAACACTTGCTGGGTTTTTTGGTGATTCAAAAGGCAAAATCGATTAAACAGAATTCGTATGAACACTAGAGGATAATCAAAGTGATGAATATTGATATGATTCAGAAGAATTCATATTCTTGCAATGATATTATGTATTGTGAGGAACCAAATTAATACCAGTACATAATATGCATGCTTGGAAGTATTTTATATAAAATACCATTGACTGTAGGAGTGTTCATCATTTTAATATCAAATCGATTTAGCCTCTGTGGTGGATTAGGAATAATTGGTCATTTCGGTTTCATCATTGATGATTCTTTCTCTATTTCGTATTGTATCAATAACACAATTAAGTTATACTTATATCAACACTGAGAAAATAAACAAGCATTATGACATTTGTTCCTTTTCTGCATTATTGAAAAACTAAGAACTATATTCTTACGTAACTCTACATATATAGTATTCCAATTAAAAGAAACACTACATACATTTAATTTTATTTTATTTTATTTTATTGACATATACATCAAATAAAAATAAAGATTTAAATTCAATATACAAGATATTTTATATGTAAAATTCAACTTACGACTACAAACAAACAATGCCTAAGCAATAGAGATATATTCCTTTACCGGTCCATTATTCCTCCATGTGAAGCGCAAACACAACACAAGAAAAATTAAGACGCAACGGCTAGCCAACCCGCACGCAACGCACGCGTTGGATGCCCTAGTTAATTTAAAAGGTTTATGTACATATAGTTGGGAGGTCTTTAGTTTAATTATTGTGATTATTTGGTCACCTTATATTAATTAAGGTTATATTTATTTGTAGGGTGTGTTCGAACAAGAATCTTGAAGTTCCGTTTGTGTGTTTTGATAAGCGAGGATCAAGGTACGTTAGGTGGTTAAATACCTTGAAAAAGATTGATTTGAATGAGCATGTTTGAATGATTTCTTGTGATGATTGAATTAAATTGAATTGAATTATGATTATGAAATAAAAATATGTTTAAATAAATTGGTTTTAATAAATAAATTGGAGTATTGATTTTATATCATGTTTTAAATGAATTAATTATTAATCATGTTTAAAAGATTTATTTTGAAACCATGTTGAATTTAATAAAGAGGAGTTTTGGAATTATTATTAAAAGTTGGATGTATTAAAATAAAATAAATTAAAGTAAAATAAAATAAATAAAATTAAAAAAAACACCTTCTCTCTCCTCCCCCACCCCCCTTCCCTCTCCACCTTCCTCCCTCCTCCCCCTTCCCCTTATGGTTCTCCACCAGGCCACCAGCAACCAGACGTCGGCAGCGCGCACTACCTCCCCTTCCCCCACCTCCGTATCGCCGCCTCCCTGCCCACCTCCCCGCTTCCTATTCCCCTTCCCTGCACACTTCACGCACTCCACCAACCTGCTCTTCCTTGCAACTCCACCAACAACAGCCCTCTGCCACCACGACCATCCCAAACCTTTATCCCCCTCCCCCGAGTGCCGGTGCCGATGCTTCCCCGATCACCTCCTCTTTCCCCTTTGATCACCCCCGCAAACCATCCAAAATCCCCCAAATCCTAACCCCTAGCCCTAACATTCGAAACACAAGGCAAACTGGCGACGTAATCAGCCACTAGCGGCCGAAGTCGGCTGATAATGGGTTGAAATCAACCATTCAACCCCAACATCGACCGATTTCGGCCATTTGTGGCCAATTTTGGTGGTCGATTTTGGGGAGGAGGTTGTATTTTTGGTGGGGATACGAGGCTGTGATGGATTTTTCGTGTGGGGAGTGTGTGCGTCGATTTTGCATGTGGTGGTTGGCGGCTGCGTGTGGGAAGGGTGTGCGTCGGTGGTGGTGGTGAAGGTGCTGGGTTAGTTTTTAGGAAATTTATCTATTTTTTTTACATTTTTTAATGTTCTCTTTTTTTTTTTACATTTTTTTAATGTTTTTTTTTCAACCAATTACATATTGACACGTGTGCAAAAAAATCTAATTCACAAATGTTTACCTTATTTACCAGTTGTAACTCTTGTAAGTCATATGGTTGCAATAGAAATTAATCTCATACAACGTTGGGAGTGATAGTGAATAATCGAAAGTAGGGATTATTATTAGCGAAAGAGCCAAAGTTGGGATTAATGGGGATAATTTTTCCTTTATTTTATGCATCAGTCTTTGTAAACTTCACCTGTATTTTACATTTTTATTTATTTATTTGTTATTTAAAAAAATAAAAAAAACGTAGTAATAAATTTGAAAATCTTTTCTCTCGGTCCTTTTCCCTAAAACTTGACAACTTGGACGGAAATTGATCTTCTCTAATTTTAATCCGCAGCGTGTTTCAAAAAAAAAAAAAAAAACTTTTTTTTTGACAAGAATAAATTTGAAAATCTTAATATACAGTCTCCTTCTAAATTCTAGACAGTCAAGTCTGTATATTCACTCTCTTCCCGCTGAAAACCCCATTTTGCTTCTGACATTCTCTTCCGAAATTTATAGCAACATGATGAAATTAGCCTCCATTTTCAAGTCCAGGTTTACTCTACTTTCTGCTTAATTTCAATCTTTGCAATTAGGGTTCTTATTTATTTCCCCTTTCCTTTAATTCGTCTTTTCAATTTTATTTATACCCTTTATTTGCTGCTTTTAGGGTTTCTGATTTTCTGTTTATTGTAGCATTACTCTGTAAATTGACTACATTTCTGCTATAGTTATATGCTTGCGTCGAACTGAATGTGCATTTCTCTGTTTTATTTTATTTAAGCATTGATTTCGTATTTGCTTGTTTAATTGAAAATATTTGTTAATAATTTGTGAGTGATGTTGATTTTAGATGGTAATCTTCCTCCTAATAAATATATTAAAATTAAGATTAAAATGTGGATTGAAATGTTTGAATTTGTTCTTTGTTTTGATGGTTAAGTGGTTTTCATGCATTTGGAGCTTTGGGATACTTTTGGGCTGACTGGATGTGGCTGAAGAGGTTGTTGTACTTTGTATTGATGTTTCGGAGTATGTTTCGCCAAAATAAAAGTGGGTTTGCAAATAGATTTCGGCGTAAATTGATTTGACTAGAAGGGAAGTTTTTGAAATGGTGGCAGATGCAGAAAGTTTTAGCAGATATTTTAGTGTAATGACCTTATGGTGTATAATTCTAATCCGCAAAGAGTGATGGTAATGCATTGAATGACGGAGGAGGTTGATTGGGGAGTTTGTTCATACGCTCTTATTGTGATGGAACAAGTGTTATTTACTTAATTTTCCGGCTTAGTTTTATCATCAAGTAGAAGTAAATCATTTTCTTCTTAATTAAATAGAGCCCTACCTTAGCATTGTCATCAATGCTGTTTCGATTATGAGGATGCCAATTGCCAAACTAGAGTAAGCTGTTTTATTTCTGATTTTTGTTAGTGACATTTTATTCTATTTTCTCTTGAAATTAAGGGGCAATGTTTCTGGACAACTCCTCAACTGGAATAATCCTACGCAAGATGCCTTTGGCTTGCACGCTTTAATGGGCTGTGCTGGCATGTCTACAGTTGGACAAAAGACTTTTACCAATGGTAATAGCAATATCAAATGGATTCTTTTTATTCTTCCTTTTGGAACTGCATTGTGGTTGATTGAGTTTGATGAGTTCTTTCATGTATTTGAGATGTTTCGTACTACGTGCAGATCGCATTTTTGCACCATACTATGTGTACAAGGGAAAAGCGGCATTCTCTGCTGAACCCATTCCTCCAAAATTTTGTAAAGTTGATGTATGAAGTATGAACATAAGCTATTCTTAATTATTTTTTCTGTGGTGGTTAATAATAAAATTTTTGGTGTGCAGTCTGGTATCAGAGTTAAGCGTCAAGGATTTATTATGATGACCTTTTCTCCTTCTGTGGGAGAGCGCAAGTATGACTGGCAGAGGAAGCAGGTAGACAATTGCTTGTTCCGCGGGTCTATTGAACAGTTTACTGTCAGGCTTATATGCATGATACGTTGATACATCCTTTTTCCCACTAAGATATAGACTCCTCAATGTAGCTGTTATGTTTGGATTGGATCATAGTGTTTTAAGTTTTTTTTGAAGAACATAGTGTTTAAGTTTTAAACGGATGAATAACTGTAGTACATAGTATATGTTAGCTTTCTGTCTTCACAGGGCTGCATTACCTGAAATTCAGGAAACCCTCTTTACTTCATATGCTGAACAAACAGTCTTAGGAAAAGCTGCAAGGACACTGTTGATTTTTTTGTTTTGAGATTATGCATACGATATTTCCCATCATCTGTTACAGTTTCTTGACTATTTATCATATGGAAGAGACCTGTTCTTGGTTTGCAATCAAGATCAAAACAGGGTTTTAAATTGTAGTTGTAGTTTATATCACGGTGATGTTTGCTGATTGTAGAAGCATGCATTGTGATGTCTCATAAAAATTATAGTTGATGTGGCATGATTCATATATCATTCTTATTGGCCAAATGATTCTTTCATTGGCCCATTAGTTGTGACTAGTGAATATGTAACTATCCTTAATAACCAGAGAAATATTGGTTTGACGGGCTGAGCAATTGATACTTATCTGCTTATATTCAGAATCATTTTTGAAGTAGATCAGTGTATATGATTCTTCATAGGTCAGAAAGCAAGGGTATATATACTGATCTTCTGATCATTATCACTTGAATACAAAGTAGATGCTAACCTTGGACTTGGAGCATGTAGCTCAACTATTCTAGTTGTTGAACTGCATTACCATCTTGTATGTCACAAAGTCACCTATTTAGTTTATAAATTTCTGTTAAAGGTGAGACAAGTGTCCCATATTCTTCTTGTCATTCTCCTACCTCTTTATTGTTTGACTGACTTGGTCTGATTCTTCAGATGTTTGCGTTGTCACCCACTGAGGTTGGCTCTTTGCTTGCTTTGGGTCCTAATGGTTCTTGTGATTTTTTCCATGATCCTGCTATGCAGACAAGGTTAATTTTTGTCCTAGAACAGTTTTCTAGCATGTTTTGCATGACTGCGTCCTGAAATTAATCCTTACCTTGTATATGACAATGTTAGTAATGCTGGCCAAGTGCGAAAGAGCTTATCAATCAAACCAAGTCCAGACGGTACTGGTTATTTCATGTCTTTGAGTAAGTCTTGTTTCTACTGTATCTTTTCTCTCTATGTTCATTCCTACAAGTCTGGGTTAGCTGTAGATGAATACTTTGTGGCCTTTTTAATCCTCTATAATTTGATTGCCAAATCAGGTTTTATGTATTTATTAATTATATGTAAGGCCTAGTGGTATTGGTTTACAGTTTGCTAGAAAAGTCCATACAAGGTTGGCTTTAAATTTCTTGTATACTTCCTCCATCCCTATTTACTAGTCCCATAGCCATTTGCACGAGGTATTATGCAAGTAAAATAGCTGAGAAATAAAAAAATAACGGGTGGGTAAATGTGGGACCAACCCAAGAGAAAAAACAAAGAGAATATCTTAAAAAGGAATTGGGCAAGTAAAAAGGGATGGAGAGAGTAATAGGCACCTATTTTTAAAGTTTAAACTACTGTGCTATGAATATGTTAGGTTTGAATAAATTTCCTTTCTCAATTATACTAGTTCACTGGATGTTTGCCATAAAGAGTTAAAGGTTACCTTGGCTTGCAACAATTTTTTAGAAAAATGTTTGTCTATTCATTTGATCCTTCTGCTTTCCATCTTTCTAGGTGTTACCAATAACATCACGAAGACCAATGATCGCTTTTCTGTTCCTGTGACAAGTGCTGAATTTGCTGTCATGCGCACATCATTCAGTGTATGAGACCTTATACTCCCTCTTTTAAATTCCTCGCATTATTCAAATTTGTGTGTGGGTGGTGGTCAGTGGCTCGGTGGGTGGGAGGGGAGTAAATATTATTGTATCCTGGTTAATAAAAAATTACTCTGACAAAGTTTTGCACATTTCTCATCTTGAAATTTGTTGCTTGCTTTCTTATATTCTTAAACAATCTGACTCTAAATGATAATAAGTGGACCTCAGTTTTCACTTATAATTTAGAAGAAAAATCTGGTGATGGGTATTAGTAGTTGGATATGTGGACCAAGAGGTATTTGCCGGGAATCGGGATCTCGTTGTTAATTTCAGAGATTTTCAAGAGTTAATCTCAGTCAAAAAATAGTCAGAGTTGACAGTAGTCATTGCCGTACATTTCTTCAGTTTTCTTCTTTGCTCCTATCACGTCATTGTATTTAATTGTAATCAAATTCCTGAAACTTATCAATCATTTCTTGTAAATATGCAATATTAGTGGGATTAGGTGGTTTCATGTTTAATGTATGACCATTTAGACTTCTGCTTCTTGATTATCATGCTCATGACTTGGAACCTTTGTAAGATGTTTCATATACTTGTATCCCTTCTATTGATATTCAGTTTGTCTAGCTTTTTAAATGTATGGGCAGCTAATTATTTCTTTTGGACAACAATTATGAGTTTTTTCTCATTCCTCTTCTCCATACTCAAAGCTGGAGATGTCTAGCTTTATAAATGTAAGGGCAGCTAATTATTTCTTCTGGGTAACAATTATAAGTTTTTTCTCATTTCTCTTCTCCATACTCAACGGTGGAGATATCTTGTAGTTAGTTGCCTGTAATTAATTTGAAGAAACTACCAGCAATAACTTTAAGGTTTTTTCAGTGTTCTAATGTAACTGATAAATTTATATAGGAGCAGTAATGGAAATCTGCAAAGGTTTTGATTTTTTGTTAAATGTTGAGAGTTGCATTATAAAATTTTACGAATTTGTTGATATTGGATAGGATACTCAAATATTTGAGGTGTAATATTCCCCCTTTCTTTGGTGCTAGTATAACAGCTGTGAAAAGGAACCAATTCTTGCAATTCTTTTGTCTGTTGTCCTCCTACAACTCTCCAACTCTAGCCCTTGAACTGTATTGCCCTTTTTTCTCCACCTTGTCTTAGGGAAGGTGTTTTTTTTTTTTTTTTTTTTTTTTTTTTTGGGGGGGGGGGGGTATGGAATTAAGAAAATAATACTAAGTACAAAAGAAGAGTTCAAACGATTTCTCAAATCATAGACCAACTACTGACTGGTTTAGTATTTGGTACTGCTTGTCAACTTAGTGACTGACAGTTGCTGTAGTTCTGTTGAATGCATCTATTTTGTCAGCAAATAGCCTCATACTATCATCAGTATATTTGCATCTTGCTGGCCTTTGATATGACTTGGTTTTGTAGTTTGCATTGCCTCACATCATGGGTTGGGATCGATACTCTAGCCAGCCGCCCGTTTTTAAGGAGGAGAATGCAACGAAAGTTGGTCTGCGGAGCATGGATTCAGAATGGGACAGATGAACTGACACAACAGACTAATGAACATAGGACTTATTTGGACTGTACCAATCGAATTTTCATTTTGTAAGGAAGGCCTTTTGCCAACTCTATGATGATTAGGAAGTCGACTTTGTTAAAGTTACCTAGGATGCCAGTATATGTAATATAGTACATAATTTCGTTGCAATATTCAAGAGCTTGAATTTGGTATGGGGTTAGTTGTATGCTTCTTGTGCTTCTTTGAGTTTTGTTTCCCTAAACCTGGGGTGTGTATGGAAGGTACATGACTTGCGAATATTATGTCAAAGGACTTGTACCTGGTTCATTTATTTCATATGATGCTGTTATAATCCATTTGTTCCACTTTTCTTTTTGATGTTTTAGGCAGGCGACCTATATGTTTAGCACTTATATATGTTCAAGATGTTTTGTTACACTTTTCTTATTAGGCCATCCTGTACTTGGAGAAAATACAAGTTATATTACATGGCATTTTTGCCATATTCAAGAAGAGACACTCTTGAACAACTTCAATGAAGATTGGAGAACTCATGAGTACAAAGAAGCTCACGAACACTTTGGACACCATCAATGGTGAACTCAATAGAGGAGGGAATTCACACTAGCAAACAACACATACCTTCCACTTAGAAGTTAACAAGTCCCTTAATTTTTATCTTAGGGTTTTTGTTGGATTTGACAAAGGTGGTGTCGGGGTTTGGTTTTCTCCGTTGAAGCAACTTGAAGAAGGAATTGAAGATGGGTGAGGATCGGAGGAGGAAGAAGATGAAGTTGGGTGGAAATCGAAGGAGGAAGACATGAAACCATAGAGGTAGGTCATGACTAGGTAGGAGGAAGATATTTTTTATAAATGTTTTTTCTATGTGAAATTATTTACAATTTTACCACAAAGATAAACTTATCTGTCTATCTCAGAAAGAAACATGTCTTCATTCATCTATCTTATACCTCTTAAAACATTTTTGCTAAATGACATATATTTTTCGTTATTTTATAATAACTCTCACTATTCTTTGCATCCACTTAAAAAATAATCTCATTATACACTAATATATAATGTAACTAACTTATGGTGAAAAGACACCGTAAAGAATGTGTAGTAATTTAGGACAAATGGAATGTCTAATCAGATAAATGTGAGTGTACCTCAAGTTTTTAAGCAAAGATGAAATTTAATACACTAATTAAGCATAGGGCTAAGATCGCTAGGTTAGGTTTTGGTATTCCAAATTTACTCAAATCCACACTTTTTTATTTTAAGTTGAGGTGTATTAAAATAAGTTATAAATCATAGTAAAATTTATTCAAAATAGTACATTTTAAACTCGCACTATTCTAAATTTCTAAGTCGAGCCATTAATACTTTCTTTTGATTAATAGAATATCTCATGTGATTGTGACATGAAAATAACAATAATTACACATGAGGTGAGAACAAAAATGAAAATAATGAGTCACAAGAAAATAAAAATAAAATAAACATGAGGTGAGAACAAAAATGAAAACTTTAATTTCAGTTTTGCTTCCACTCTATCTCGGATCTCAAATCATTGTTACTCTTCTTTAGCAATATCTTTTCTCTCTCAACCCGACCCGACCCGACCCGAGAAATGCGGAATCCTACGTCTGCTTTGGGTACATGGCTTCACAACAAGATCGTCGAACCCCTTCTCCAAATTTTACGCAGGTAATCTTCTAGTCTTCTCTATCTATTTTTAGTGATTATTTGTGTATTTTTTCTACTCATTTTTCTTAAATTTTGGACCTTTTTACTTTGATAATCTCCAAATTATTGACCCTTTTGAGGTGGGTATCATAATCTATGTCAAATAATCTTTTTTAATGTTTGTTTCAGTTCAATTTCCGAGCTTTTATTTGGGTTTATTGACCATTTTCGAAATTAGCATATATTGCTTTATATCATGATTAATGTAATTAATTATTGTGTAATTGGAATGATTACAGGGGTGCTGAGCCTAAGCAATTGGCATTTTCAACAGCTCTGGGTTTTACCTTGGGTGTATTCCCAATATGTGGTATGTTATCTTCTCTTATTCCTGTTTAATTGAGTAGAAATTTTGTATTTTTACTGTAGATGTGATATTTCGAGCTTTTGGGTATGATTCTATGACTACTTCTAATACTTAGTCTTTTTTTTTGCTGTTTAAATGAAATTGTTTTTGGATATAGCTTGTTGTTAAAGTTGATTATGTGTTTTTGTTGAGCTATCTGCAATTGTAAATGGTGTTGTTTTGTTTATTTCAATTGTTGGTACTGTGATATGTATTACTTTGTCGGCCTGTTTGGTAAAGTGGTAATAAAAAGAGGGGGGGGGGGGGGGTGATAGGAACAGATATTTCTATATAATCTTGTAAAGGATGTCATTTGCTAATGTCCATGTTGATGGAACTCCAATCCTTTAATATGTGTTTTCTTCACAAGTTTCTAGTTTTTACTCAATAGTCAATACTACATTACTACCTCTACATGTGTTAATGAGTTGTTAATCTTGTTATGGAAAATTGGAAATTATGAAAAAAAAGAGATATGGAAAAGCGTAACCTTGAATATTGACATTAAAATTTCTTACATCACCTCCATACAATCATTGTATGTGGTCCCTACATACAATACCATTAGAAATTTGACACATCATAAAAAAGGGAAGAAAACTATGAGTCAAATATAAATTGAATTCAAATGGAACTTGGATCCATAATTTTAACTAATAAAAACATGACAAATTGTGGTTGTATGTAGGGACCACATACAACAATTGTATGTGTAGCCTTTACCCATACATTACCATATACTATGCGTCTATACGGGCCATATATACTCCGCATTTAAAAGGGATAATTAATGTGATGATAAATGTGTTTTAGTTTCCATGTTCTCAGTGTTTTCTTCTTTCTTTTGCTCAAAGATGCATGTTTGTATGGTTGTTACGGTTGTACCTCTAAATTGCTTTGTGAAGTCATTTGGAACTCTACAACTAGTAACTAGATAATTAGTATCTAAGTTTAAAATTTTGAAACTATCTTTCTTCCCAAAATCTTTGCATTTTTGTACACAAAAGATTTTTGACTCATTTTATTATTTTGTGGTATTCACCATTTACCTTCACGTCTCAATTTATTGGGAGTATATTTTTACTCAAATATTTAAGATTTTTTTACTAAACTAGTATAAAAAAAAATTATTTTCGACCACCCATTGTGGTTCACCATTTACCTTCACCTATTTGTCTTGAAATGATAAATCATGCCTCACATATTTGACTTCCAATAGAGTATATGCGTTTTAGGTAATATTATAGCGTCAGTGTGTGTGCGCGCGCGCTCGTGTGTGTGTGCGCGCGCTCGTGTGTGTGCGCTTAAACACACCATGTATATATTGCTGAAATAAGATAGTCATGTATTAAGTAGAGTGTTCCCTTGGAAGTTGCAGTAGAAGTCGATTGTTATAACTGCTTTATTGGTATCATGCTTCTAAGTGAGACAACTGAGCTTAAGTAATGTTCATTTGAGAATGTACATGCTAAGTTTGACTTTAACAGGGGTAACTGTTTTTTTATGTGGAATTGCTATTCCTTTGTTGGGGTCACGTTGTCATCCTGCAAGTGTGCTGCTGGCAAATTTTGTGGCTACTCCCATTGAATTGAGGTAATTTTCTTTTAAATGAATAATTGTAAACAGCTTCTATGAGGTTAAATCTACTTCAATGTATTTCTGACTGTGATTGGGTTGCTGGTCTTATAATTTTTACCTCTGTGGATCATTTGTACCCACCTTTGTGGTTCATTTGTACCCTTTATTTTGTGATTTACTAAACTATAGTTTCTATGCTTTGTAGTTTGGTGATACCCTTCCTGCGTCTTGGTGAAGCTATCTGTGGTGGTCCTCAATTTCCATTGACCTCTGATGCTTTGAAGAAGGTTCTGACAGGCCAAGCTTCAACTGATGTTCTACTAAGCATTGCTCATGCGGTATGAATTCAACCTATTATATTTCTTCTTTCCGCCTCTCTACTTGTTTGCTCTCTCTATTATTATGGGCATGTGTGTACAGTATACCTTGCTCACCAAACAACACCTGTATAACATAGCCCTAGTGGCTTTAATGAAAGTATGAAACTTCTACCATGGTAAAACTGAAGGAAAGGTGGCAGTGCCAGCCTATTCTCACAACTTCAAAGACTTTTTGACAATCTCAAATGGCTTTTTTCTCCGTCTTGAAGATGATTAGAAAAAGGGTTATTTGGTAATCTAGTTATAGCAGCATATTATAGGAAATATAGGTAGAGTTTAAAGAGACATTTGCTTTGGTCTTATAAATTCCGAATTCCGAAGTGCTATTATGTATGGCTTTTACATTTTTGTGCAGTTTAAAAGATACCAAGTATGTATTGGTACCTCTTTTTCGGGTTCATTGATTCAGTTATGTATAGTTAACAAAAAAAGGATGGATAAAAGGTGGAATAAAATACCTTTCTTTGTTTTGAAGATTAGATATATGATTCTTTTGTATATCTAACCTCCCTATCACTTCAAAATGGTAAACATAAGCTACCAAATAATAGCCAGAATTTGTTGTTTGGTTGACTGCTTTTCTCAAGTAAGCAATAAATACAGGCAGCTAATGAGTTAAATGAACTTCTTAGGCATTCTTTGATGACAGTTCACTGCTAAAACCATATCCACGTGGATACACACTCAACCCTAGGTTTCCTAAAAAATGTATTCCTATGGTTGATATTAGGAAATCTCATTTAGTTGATTGTCCAGTCTTAATTAAAAAATATTGAAAAAGGGTATATAAATTTTCTTATAGATATGATTCAAGGTGCTGTGAAACCTTTTGTTCATCAAGGCGTTCTCATGTTGATGCTCCTATCTATGTAGCTTAAAGGGACATGTTTTCCTTATTATTATTTTTTTTAATCGTTGGTGCAACATCATCTCTTTAGGTTAAGTTCAGTCATCAGAATTTGGTTTTTGTTTTTTTTTTTTTGAATAGGAATTTGGTTTTTGTTTGTATGGTCTGTTTTTATCCTTGATCATAACTGTTTTATCCATTAGAAATCTTTGATGAAGATCCCAATGTACCAAACTGATTTGAAATTTTAGAAGCTTATGATGACGATGATGATCACTTAACCACCTAATATTTCAACACAACGTGCTTGTGCTTTTTATTTTAATAAGTTTCAAACTGACCTTTCCTAACATGTTCATTATTACTTTTGTGTCATCTATTTGTTTCTCAACTGAAATCTGGTACTCTGCTGTTGTCAACCAAAGGAAAAAAAAAAACAACACTAGGGAGTATAACCTCTTCAGCTCAATTTGACTTATCTGAACCTGTTATTTTTTTCCCCTTTTACTGTACTTAGTGAACCTTTTTTTTTTTTTTTGAATTTGAGACAAGTTAAAATAAGCTAAGTAGAACATACTCTAAAAGACACTGGATTTTCTTTTGCGTGATTAATTTTATAGAACTTGCTTTATTGTGCTGCTTAGGGTCATTCATCCAAAGTTCCTAACCCATTAGGCCGTTACATTAACATCACAAGTTCCCCTTATTATAAACTTATACATCAGTAGCCTTCTCAGTGTTATGTTTTCATGCTTGTACTGTTCTTTTGTCTAAGTTATTTTCCTGCACTTGCTGTAAATTGTGATGCTGATTTGATTTTCTTGTTGTTTTGACTCTATGTACAGTTGGTGGGGTGGCTGCTTGCAGCACCGTTCATCCTGGCCCTACTTTATGTTGTACTTTTGCCTTGTTACAAGATTCTTGTGCAGAAATTCAGCTCTGACCCCCTAAGCCCAAAGAAGCTAAAAGGCGATGAAGAACTTAGGCTCAAGGTGAGGGCTGCCTGATCTATTTTATGTTTAGAACACATGTAGTTTGCTCCTATAAATGTTAGGCATTCAGGCCATCCATGTTTTTTCTCCAGGCCTTGATAGTATAGACTATATGCTCGTGGATTTGTTTAGTTGAATTGCTAGCTCTGATCAAGAGGTGCTCTTTTCACAAAGAACTGATCTTTGTTCAGCGTTTTATGTACATGTGAATCCCAGCGAAAACAATGATCTCTGTTGAACAATTTATGCTGCTGTGTGCTGTCTGTATGGAGGATGATCGTTTCCAATGGATTGCTGTCGAAAGAACTATCTAAAGTAAAACCCTTTCTTGCCCCCATTCAATTATCTCCCTCCATTTCAAATATGTAAATAACCAAAATTATGGAGAGAGAAGGCACATATACATTATATCATGAAGATGAGGCAATGAACTCTTAGTGAAGGTTGTATATTGTTGACATCACAGTTTGTTTATTACTTCGACGGGGCTTATTGTTATCTTCCACTGTCCTAAATGAATCTGTAATTCTAGCCAGATTTATCAGGCAACTGCAGCATCATACTATCCAGTATCAACTTGGTACTGTTCGTATATATCTGTGAATTAGTGAAAGATTCATGATGGAGTGCTCTCTTTGACTTTTACCAGTCCTCAATAAGGATTGATTAGCCAAAAATCTCAAACGGTCTATCTAGCTGGTGGTAATTAAGGTTATGGTAAAACTTGTACGTAGCACTTGTTATGAATTTCTTGGTAATATAGACGAAATTAATTTTTAATACTAGGCAATAAAAATTAATATCACCACTTGTTTAAAAAAATAAGTCAATTAAAATAGACGAGTAGCAAAAATTTATTAAGCTAAACTTTTACAAAAATGAGTTTTGTTTAACAAAAGCAAGTCAAATGATTTTTTTTTTTTTTTTTTTGTTTTTCCAACGAAGATAAATTAATTTATACTTTTGTAAAACAAAAACAAAAGATATTTCATACCCTTGTTCAAGCACTCATAGAATAAATTAAGTATTAATTTTACCAATTTAAGAGACTAAATGATTTTTTTTTTTTTAAATAAGAGGCTAAATGTTTTTTAGAACAAAATAATTGTTCTAAGTTGATTTAAAAAAAATAAAAATTGTTCGAAATAAAGCATGTTTGTCGTTAATGTACTTGCATTTTTAGTTTTTTAAAAACAAATCAATTCATTGATAAAAGGCCATATGACATATAAATGAAATTAAAATTGGTTAAAATAACGAAATTTTAATTAACAAATACAGAAAATTGAATCAAATTAGGGTTTCCTTCATCAAAGATATGATCATTGAATAGATTTTGCATTGTAGTACATCTCTCGCACACATCGTTGGAATATACAACCTTTTCGAAGAGACGGGTCTAACGATTTCTTGTAGCCGTAAAGCCCATAAGGATGATTTTCATCTGATTCCCTAGAATGTACTTACATTTAATATACCTATACTAATATCAAAGTTAATACACTTATACTAATATCAAAATATTACCGCTTGTTTTGTAGACGCGATTCAAATTTAATAGTCCAACACTCCATAAAATAGATAAGCACTTCTTATAAAATACTACCTTCTCATGACTTTAACAAAACACTATAAATTAGATTATTGTATGTAGTACAAAGTACTCCCTCCGTCCCTTTATTACATGTCTGTTTCTCATTTTGCACGGGAATTAAGAAAGCTAAAGATTCCTTAAAACTAAAAATTGGGAGTAAAAATATACATATGGGGTTAGAGAGAGATAGAGAGAAAGAAAAAAGTGGTTGAGAATTAGGAGAGAGAAAGTATTGGGAATTGATATAAAGTACAAAAAAAAAAAAATGATGACAACTCATCAAAACAAGAATAATATTAGCAAAAAGTACAACCTATAATTAGAAACAGGCACTTAATTTTGGTCACCAAAAAAAAAATACAGGCATGTAATAAAGGGACGGAGTGAATACTTGTTTTTAATATCTCTATTCTAATATCAAAACCTTACCACTTGTTTTCTAGTAAAATGGATGAAATTCATTTTTTTTTAATATTCCAATATAAAATACGGTCTCCTAAGACTTTAACAAAACATCATAAAATAAATTGATTAAATGAGAATTTTGCGGTGTAGCATATCGATATCGCTAATCTAAAAATTGACAACATATATAGATTATTAGGATTAGTAATATTCTTATACTAATATCAAAATATCTCCATAATCCAATAGAAAATACCGCCTCTTAAGACTTTAATAAACCATCATAAAATAATCCGATTGAATGAGATTTTTGTAGTGTAGCATATCGATATTGCTAATCCGAAAATTGATAATATACTTAGATTAATTATTATATTAAACCTAATATAAAAATATAGGGCATGACTCATACTTTGAGATTTGGGAGTTTCGTCATTTTAGAAAATTTGTCTTTATTATTTGACAGATGGAACTGCATGCTACACTCTTCAGATTAATCTTTTCCCGGCATGATTTCATCTGACATCATTATCAAATTACATCATTTTTCTACTATAAATCTGCTAAAATCCTAGGATTTTACAATTTAATTTCTGTTTTTCTTCCATTTTTTCATTGCTTCAAAACCCTAATTTCCGACTATTTTAAGGCTTGATCTGTAAATGTCGACTGCAAATGCATCCTACAATGGTAGGAGAAGTAGCAGTAATCGCCGCATTATTGAATCGAATCCAATGGAAAGTGATACGAGCTTGATTACGAGCAACAATGGCGGCGGTGTTAGCGGTAGTAATCCAGAAGCAGTGAAATTGTATGAAGCAATTATATTTTCTGGTCCAATCGTGTTCACATTGATCATCATCTTCTTGTTTTACTTCTTTTATCTTCGAAGGCATAGTGTTGATTGGTCGTCTCTTCGTATGCGAGCGTCTAATTCTGCTGCTGTCGCCGCCTCCGCTTCCGATGCTGTTGTGGTAATGGTTGTTTGTTAGTTGATTGATGGATTTGCAAGCATTGTTATCGATTTGTATTATAAAATTTGGTTTGATTTTCATTTTTAGGTGGTTGAATTGGGGTTGAAGAAAGAATTTAGGGAGATGCTGCCAATTATTGTGTATAAGGAGAGCTTTTCTGTTAGAGATACACAGTGAGTAATTTCCCTTTTCTTGCATTTTTTTTTTGTTTTTGTACTAATATGCTCCTTTTTTTTTTTTTTTTTTTTTTAATTTTAGTTTCAATTTTTAATAGTAAAAAGTAGTTAGTGTACTAAATTAAGGTAGTGGAGTTTGGTTTATAAAGTGATGGAAGTATTTATGTGATTTTAGAAGTTATTAAAGATGCGGGGATACTAAATTTGGATTAGACAACTGTTCATTGAGACTCAAATTTTCTTGTTGGATAGTGGATAAGCAAGACATTATAGTGGGTTTCTTTCCAGGTTACAAAATCTAGAGTGGTTTTTAAAATCTTTCAATTTAGCAATTATGGTTGAAAGTTTGAAACAATTGTTGGGACCGGGCGGCCTTGGACAGGCATGATTTTATGAATGATAATTGATGAGCAATGTTGCATGGACTCTTCACAAATCACATTACCTCAAGTTCAGTTTGGAGATTTAGCCACTTTGACTTAAGTTAAATTATGCAAAATTTTCGGAAAATGGTTTAGTAGAGAAAATGTGCTGGCGTTGGATGTTTGTAGTAGAGTCCACGTGACATAGCCAGTGTGATGAGATTATGTATTGTATGCGTACTTGGTGAATCTGTGCAATGACATGATTACAGGGACAATGGAGAATAGAACTTTCAAATGTGGAGCAGTTTCAGTCCAAGCCTAATGTTGTGCCTGAAGCAACTTGGAGTTGGATTTGTGGTGCCCAAACTGATTCCTTTAGTACTATGTCCTCCATCCCTTCACTTATTTCTGATTAGTGCATTGAGTATATTTTATTTTCTATCATGTTTTCCTTATTCCTTTATGGGAGAAAATGAAGAGAAAGGGAGGGGGATAAATCACCATGTTTGGATAAAGGATTGAGGGACACAAGGGGGAGGGAAAGAGAGGGATTCATTTTCCCACCTCGTTTTACTATCCCTCCAAAATTGGAGAGATTTGGAGGGAAAGTGAAGCTCCACTTTCTCCCTCCCTTTCTTTCCCTTCCCTTCCTCCTATTTCCTTCCCCTCCCTTTCCCTTCTAAATTGTTATCCAAACATGCTGTTAGAGATGCTATTCAGGGTCTTCACTGGTTAGTATGTGCTTGTTTAACTATTGTACCTGGAGCCTTTCTAACCTCCCAATAAAATTGATCAAGAAACAATACAACTATATAAGCCATGCACTCCTATTGCAACTGCAATCATCCAAGCTAATACCTCACCAGTGATAAAACCCTAGTTGTCTTATGTAAGATGATCCGTATATATAAGGGAAGTTTTTATTCTTTACATTGGGTCGCTAATTTTTTATAAAACCAATCATTAATGGCACATCTCATAGTCTTCCAGTGTGAAATTTGGAGTATGCAATGTTCTGCATTCAATGAATTCAAATGTTCTTAGGTGTTATTCTTAGTCTGTTACTTTATTTTAGGGCCGACTGAATTCAAACTTTCATTAGGTTTTATTCTTAGTTTGTAAAGACTAAAGAGGAATGACCATCCAACATGGAAAATTATCCAAATTACCCTGCCCCTAACTAGTTTGATCTCTTTAGAATTGCTCCTTAATTTACTTCCTCCACCCCTGAATATAATAAATAAATGAATTAATGTGATTCAAATAAAATAAAACATTATGAGAGCACTAGCAGCTAAATAAGTGGGGTTATCATTAATCAATTTGGCCATTGGTCAACAAACAAGATATTATTTATGCTCCTTCTATCCCTTTTTGTTCAACATTCTTTCTTTGGATACCCTGAAACATTTGTTTGCTTTCTAGTTTCTACTGTATACACCCAAATATGGAGTTATATGTTTTCCTTTTCACACATTTCATTATGGTAAGTATCAATTAATGCATGGCATAACTCACTTTTACATGTTTAAAGTCATCAAAAAAGTTGCTTTTATCTAAACTAGTTTTGTAGTATTTTTGTTCTTTTTCAGCTTTTGAAACATGTTTGAGACAAAGTGAGTAGTAGGATGGATACACTCTTAGAATTACTTGTGTTTGCAGCTTATAGCATGCAACTCAATGTCAAATGAGTGCATAAGGCTCCCATTTTTAACATGGTCAAGGGGTCCCTATGTACATAAATAGCATCCCCACAAGCCTACTACAATCCAGATAGCAGTATAGCATGAATTAGGGCCGACTGAAAATGCGTCTAGCTGTTGAATCCAGATAGTTGATCTGGTCCATTATCATCCTAAGTAGAAATTTTGTGTATGGTGTTTTCATCTTGTTAATACTTCTTTAGAATCTTAGATACTATATTGGGATATATTGAATGTTGTGATTAATCTTGAATGAAATAGTAATGATTTATGATCAAATCATCAGATCCCTAATATTTCCTTACATAAATTATGTACTACGTAATTGGTTGGCGTCTTGACGATAGCAAGTGATGTATGACAGAGTGATAGACATACCACTAGTAATATAAAGATATATGGTAAGGTATATGATATACGTAATCTTGTGAAATTGTCATGGTGTGACGAGTGAAAGCTCCAGAATCCAGACAGATAGAGTAGTTAAGATCAACAAACGTATTCAAGATAAGCCATTTTGATTTTCTATAACGTGACACAACTAACTTTGTTTTTCTAATTGCTGGTCTATATATATTTGTCATCAACCAATTTCCTATACATGATCTGTGGGCTAGTCTGGGGCCTAATCATCCCCAAAACTGATCCACATAACTTATGACCTGGATTAGACCATAGGCCAGGTGGGTGGGCTTTTTGTCCCAACAGGCCAAGCTGGTCTTGTGCTTGGTTCTGTTATGCCCACTTGTCACTTGAATTGGTTCGCCTGGTAATGCATCTTGTCTTGCCCGTGTTGAATTGCAGCCAGGTTTGACCTGTGAGCTGGTTTGGCTTGGCCGTGCCAAATTCAGAACACATGTCATGCCTACGGTTCACACAATTTTCCTTGAACTCCAAGCAATGTCATGTTTTTATACATCTTTATATCTTCACTATCTTTGGTTATTCAAAACCCAGTCCCAAGTTTTATACAAGTAATAATTTTTCAAGGATGTTACATGAGATGGGTGATATTGTGGTTTCCTTCAATTAGTTCTATGTATTATTCTTTTTGTTTCTTTGGTCACTTCATTCTTGAAATATATCAAGTGGTAGCTTTGCTCCTACGTAATTGATGTAAAAGTTATACCTGGGTGCTTGGATGTTAATTGATATACATGTGGTCATCATCTTCAATTTAGAACTACCGTTAAAGCTTGGATTTATTCTACCTTATAATTTAAACTGCTCCATGGGCACTTAAAACAATTTAGTGGTGATCATATTTATCTTGTCAACAACCTGTGGGTTATTTATGCTTTCCTTATTGAAAATAATTGATCAGTCGATAGAGTATTCTTTGGTCACAGCGAGCTTTTAGAATATGGAGGTGCATATCACTATGAATTTTTGACCCATCTAACGTTTTAGTTATAGTAACTAAAGAAAGTTATGTCCATGTGTAGGATGTGATTGCGGGGAAAAAAATAGGAAAAAACAATACTCAAATTTGGTTTATATGATTCATTAATCCTATTTAATTGTGAAAATTCTTGTTTTAATTGGTAGAATTGTTTTTGTAAAGCTTTTTGATTTTTTTTTTTTTTCATGAGTAATCTGCCCAATTCTCTAAAGATCTTCTCCATCGTCCTTCACCATTGTTGTGAAATCATCTGACTGGTAAAATTCATTTTAAACTTTGTGTACTGGTCCGCCTGTGACCTCCATCTAGTCACCATTATGTGTTAAAAGAGGTTTTGATACCCTTACTGATTAAGTTAGAGCATCATACTTTTAAAAATTTATTTTGTATGAAAAAAGTTGTAAAGGGATAGTTGATCAAAAAGTCCTAGTTCTCTTTCCTGTCAAAAAAGAAAAAAAAAAAGAAAAAGAAAAAAGAAAAAAAAGTCATTGTTTTTTTAAGGTATTACACTAGGAAAAAGAAGTCCACATGAGTGGTGATTTTGTTTTTTGAGATCCCACATAAAAGGTAGTTATGGGCTAACTTTCCTTGATTTGAGTTGTGTAACGTACCTTGCTTGTGTTTGTTTTTTTTTGTTTTTTTTTTTTTTTTTTTTTCTAGAACAAATATTTGCGATATGACTCCTATGAGGCCTTTTTTTAGTGAAGATTTAGAGTTACTATGTAGGGATTGCTCAGTGTCAGAGACTCAGAGTGAACTGGAAAGTGTGAGACGAAGATTTGATTATTTTTGGAGATTTGACATATTTCCATACAGCTTGTATATTTTGACGTGGTGGTGATATACTGATATATGAACGCTTGCCGATACCGGTAATCCATACGCCTTGTATATCTGGATGTGGTGTTGTTATATGGACTCTTGCCAATACTGATATATATCCATACGCCTTCTATATTTTGACGTGGTGATGTAATATGAACTCTTGCCAATACTGATGAATAGCTTCAGCTGATATATTTCAATTCACCTTGTATATTTTGACGTGGTTGTGCTATATGAACTCTTGCCAATACTGGTATATAGATTTCTTTGATTGAGTTCTCTCACCTTGTTTTGTTGGTGATCTAGGAACTGCGCTGATCATGTCAGCCTACATAGTCAATTGACTTCTCTCTTTTTCTGTATTTTCTTGCATCTCTTTTTTTTATTTCTTCCAGAAAATTTCTGCTTATTTGCATGTATAAATATCTCATTAAATCAACCATATCTCAGATGCTCAGTGTGCTTAGGGGAGTACCAAGCAGAAGATAAGCTTCAACAGATACCTGGGTGTGGTCATACATTTCATTTGTTCTGCATCGACCTTTGGCTAGCCACTCATACCACCTGTCCACTCTGTCGCCTTTCCCTTATCAGTTCATCCAAAACCCCACCAGCCTCAGAGTCTGAGAGTAACGATCAGACTGATAGTAGTAGATCTGAAGACTCAGATAATGTAGATGATACCCTTCAGCTAAGCAGAGTGCAGGTTTTGTGATTTAGCTCTCCTTTATGGGAGAAACAGGAATGTGTGAGATGATTTTAAAGAAGGTAGGAACCTGTACAGGGAAGACGGAAATCTAGGATACGAGATGGCTGTAGGTAAATCTTATCAGCAATCTTATTGCTTCTTGTTGTGTTGTGGATGAGCTCTGCTGTATTGGAACATTTGCCTGAATTTAAGTGAGCAAGAAAGGGTTTCCTGTGAAATTGATATCATATGAACTCTTACGTCAGTGTTGAATCAAATGGCATTGTATCCTGCGACTCTGCGAGTGTGTTTATCAACTGAGGAACCTGTACTTGTCCAGACTCCAAAGAGAGCTATTGATTGTGTTGTCTCGTTGTATGTGTGTAGAAGTATGTAAAACTAGTAAGCTATTTAAATTATCTCCTATAGTTGTTTGTAATGAAATTATGTTATTATATAGTTTTTTATAATCAATGTTTTCATGTGTATAAAACATGTAAAATCTCAAATGTATTAGCCTGGTTTGTCTCGTGTAACATTTGAGATTTTGCATGAAGCTAGAATATACTTCCTCCCATATTCTTTTATTTACATTACAAGGTAGCCCCTAAGTGTTAAGGTTTACATCGATCTCTTTTAAAGTGCAAGATGATATGTAGCAAGTAAAAGAAAACGAAGGAATTAGGCTCCTTGTTACAAATAAATCTACAATTGCAAATTACAAGAATATGGTTCATCTAGCACTGTCAAAACGGTTTGACAGTTCGGGTTCGGTTCGGTTTGAAATCGGTTCGGTATTAAATCGGGTCGGTTTGAAATCGGTTTAAATGTTTCGCGGGTCGGTTTCAGTTCGGTTTAAATAGTTATCGGTTCGATTCCGTTTCGGTTTATTCTTGAGCGGTTTTAATTCGGTTCGGGTTGTAAACGGTTTGGGAAGTAAACGGTTCGGTGCAGTCGGGTTACAGTTTGTTAACGGTTCGGTGTATACGGTTTTTATACCGGTTCAAACAGTTTCAGATTGGAAACGATTTCAAGTTAGAAACGGTTCGGTTCATTTTTATTTTGGTTCGGTTTGTTAATGGGTTCGCCTTTTATACGGTTTAACGTTATTCGGATCAGTTTCATTTCACGTTTACTAAATTATGGTTCGGAACGGTTTTTTATTTCAAAAAAGTCGGTTTTTAATTGGGTCGTTTGGATTCGGGCAGTTAAACGATTTTGGTTTGAAATTTCATAGTACTTGCTAACCTTTTACTGGTTAACAAGTTTTATATCAAGCCGAGACTTCATCACTTCATATTTAGGCATTAGGCATTATATTATATACAAATTCTCATCGGTTTTAAAAATACATGTCATGTTATTTTCAAGTTTAGTCATATTGATCTTACTAGTTTATTACGAAGTAACGTAGATTATAAAAGTTTAGTGTATTAATGAATTATTATTGTTTTACTATCACATTATTAGATGCTTCTTATTCAATCATCTAATTGATGTGTCATAATCATGATTTGACGAGTTATTGTGAGATTGAAATTACAGTTTGATTTATAGACGGTTCGGTTTGTAAGTGGTTCGGTTCATAAATGGTTCGGTGCATACGGGTTGCAGTTTGTTAACAGTTCGGTGTAAACAGTTTTTACCTCGGTTCAAACGGTTTCGGGTTGGAAACGGTTTCGGGTTAGAAATGGTTCGGTTCTTTTTCGGTTCGGTTTGATTTCAGTTCGGTTTAGAACTGGTTCAGTTTGTTAACGGGTTCGGTTCTTATACGGTTTGACATTATTCGGATCGGTTCGGTTTCGGTTTTACTTAAATACGGTTTGGGTCGGTTTTCGGTTTTACAAAATCGGTTTTTAATCGGTTCGGTTCGGTTCTCATTTGGGTCGGTTGGTTTCGGGCTGAAATTTGACAGCACTAGGTTCATCAAAATGACATGTTGTATTATACGAAGTACTCCGTATATCCATTTCAGTGACAAATTTCAAGAAATGAAGGTCTGAATAAGATTTTATGCTCTCAACATTTCTCCACATTAACCCTGTTTTGTTGTTGTCCGAGTTGTCTCATTTAAACAACAGCAGATCTCATGTCTGACTCAACCAAAATTACGCCGGGATTGGGTTGCCATTTGCCAACCTGATTGCTCAAACCATTATTTGAGGCTGTGTATCTATGCTTCACGAGCTATTTTTACTCCGTCCTGGTTGGGCAAAAAGTATAGCCAAACTCCTGATATCCTCTCAAACTATAAGAAAATGCCTTCAAGTAATTAAGAATGCTGACCAATGTTTGAGCTTATCAGGAAACCAAATTAAATTGTAACAGAGAAGGAACTACACTGATGTATAGTATAAGAACTCATGCATCGACCAAACGTCGTAAGAACTCATGCATCGACCAAACGTTGTAAGAGCTCATGCATCGACCAAACGTCGTATGAACTCATGCATCGACCAAACGTCGTATGAACTCATCCAACCAATGTTCCTACTACTGCTCTGCTTATGTCCTTTGGTCCATTTCAATTAAAGTCTTACTTGACCATTACCACTTCATGCATCAATTTACCTAAATATACTACAGTAATATGGATTTGTTCTTTTTCTTCATAATATGTGTATTTATATTTTAGCATATGGTAAATCAGATGGCCTTAATTGACAAGAGTAAGAGGAAAGTATAAAGGATTATTTTTAATTTCCCTCTTGCTGATCGAACTTGAATGTAAACAGGTTCATAGGCTCTTGCGATGCATATTAAACTCAAAGCTAATCTTGAACAAGTCTAACTGCCTCACAATTACACTAAACCTTGGTCTCACAGAGTCACACTCATCAACAACAAAGCCTTAGTCGCAAAATGATTTGGGGAGTCACTGTCACCAATCATCAGAAAGTTAATACATTGATACCTACCAGTTATCATGAAGCTTTTTTACCAAGAAAGAGAGCTACATATGTATATCATCCCCCCAAAAACAAGTACAAAATGATACTATATTGTACTACTAAGAACAAGTGTTTAATGCAAAACCAGTTCACAAGAATAACATGAGTTGAGCTAACAAAGGTTATGTGACCAAAGTAATTGACCCGTTGAGCTTATGCCTAAGTGCCCTTCCATTAACAATACCAGGTCTGTGAACCTGGATCAGGCTTTAAAACAACCCAAACAACTTAACTAAGTAAAACTGTTGGATTTCAATTTCAACTAAGAAGCAGAAAATGCTGAGAGCTCAAGTATCAAGTAATCCTGATAAATAATATGATAGCTTACAGCTCATGTAACATTCGAGTTCTGAAACTATAGACCTGTACACATATTCTAGCACTGAATGCTACAGAATAGGAATGTTTACGCAACAGGCTAAAAAAGTAACTGCTATACATACTCCAGAATCCTGTAAAATGATGGTTATTGGAACTATGTCCTCCAATATCCATAACATTTGAAAAAAAAAAAAAAATTACTCAACGACGAACACACTGAAGACCCTGACAAATCAGCAGCCAAACTAGAAACAATATAATGCATACTGCAGCATCAACGATAAGAACTAACCGTACTAGGCGACACCATTTTCTTCTTGAGGTTTGGGACCTCAGCCTCATGGAAGAGCTCATATCCTTGTGCAATGCCAATGGAGAAACTGTTGCACCTGCAGGATTAGAGTCTGAATCACCCCTGTGCCCTCGGTCTGTAGACCTGCGGTTTTCTTCAAGCTCAATACCTCTCATGGAAATCATGTGATGATCCTTAACCTTCTTGTCTTGCTTCAAGGGCTTACTAGTACCTAACAAAGGCGCCTTAGTAGAAGTCGCAACTTCCACCACCTCCCCATAATACGAAGCACAAGGAGATGAAGATGTGTTCGCACTACCACCATTTGCTCCGGTTTGTGAAACATTTTGTAAGGAGGTTATCAATTGACGAATCACAGGAACCAATTGTTCCTGTAAGTTAACATTGGAAGCACCCCCCTTCCGACCACCAGAACCCTTCTTGGCAATCTTCTTAAACTCGATCCTAACATGCTCTAAGAACCGGAGAAGGGCAGGATTTCCAATACCCTCATTGGCAATGGCAAAATAAACATATCCATCTTCCATCAAAAACATAAAAGTCCTCTTACTCATGGTCTGAGAATACCATCTATGGCATAGAGGAGCTTTTTCCAAACACAACACCGCCAATTTCTCGATTTCATCGTCTCCCCCACTGTATGCCTGTAATATCCTACCCCCTTTCGCAACACAACAATAATGCACAAAACCCTTTTCCATGGAACCCATCAATTAGCATATACAGTACTCAATTCCAGTCCAATTAAGCAAGAATCTTGATTCGAATAAAGTAGAATTGAACCAAATCTTCAATTAACGAAGCAAATACTAAGCAGAAAGCAATAATTTCATCGGCAAGTAATTCAAAAGCATCCAAAAAATACCAGAACAATTCCAACGCAAAATCTTCAAACTCTAGAAAAAAGTCAGTCATGATTCATCCTTAACATAGTGAATCAATTCCCACATCATAACCTAATTGAAACTCAATAAAAATTCGTTCTTTTGGATGAAGTATTACCAACAAACAAATCCCATCAAAATACAGGAAATTCAATGGCGAAGTTGTCAAGAATACTGAAAAACTTATGCAAAAATTTCGAAGAATGAACTTACTGAAGTAGAAGGGAAGGAATAATTCTAGTGAAAGCAAGCAGAATTGCGTGTAAAAGCACCTTCTTGGAAAGCTTCCATGGTGGTAGACCTAGTCACAGGAGGGAAATTGGAAGGCAGTTTATGGGTAAGCAGTATCAGCAAAAATGTAATGATGGGGTAACTGATTTGTTCATAATTTATGGGTTGACGCGGTGTCTTGCCGGGTCAGTTTTCTTCTCCTGCTGAGAGAGCTGGCTGCTCCCTCCTCGTCTTTTAGGTGACAAATGGGATGTTCGGATCAACGGATCGGATTTAGTTTATTTTAACCTGGTTTAAGTCTTATTATGGTGAGGTTTAAAAAAAAAAAAGTCTTATTAGGGTGAGATTAAAGTGTTTGGTTTGAATTGCTCATGTAACTTAATTTGTTACTTCGTAATTTCGTATGATACCAATGAGATTATGAAAATTGATGGTTGGTGTAAAACAGGTTACATGTTCAAATTCTCCCATACCCATTCATTATTTGTATTGTCACTCGTTTAAAAAGTTTGTTTTGGTATAATCAAATTTAATTCTTTTAATACTAGGTGGGGCCGAGTGCATTCAGATTCTGATGAAATCACACTATTTAATTCAATTTATAGTTTTAGAGTTTAGAAAAATCATTTAGATCAAGTCATTAGTTGGTTAGTTTTTGCAAAGTGTATTTCTTTTTCTTTTCAATGAAAATCTAATCTAATCTAATATATATATATATATATATATATATATATATATATATATATATATATATATATATATATATATATATATATATAAAGTAGGTATTTTTCGAAATCATTCGGGGCGCCACATAAGAAAAGTAAATATTTCGTCCAATGATAAATTAGATTTGTATTTTAATTTTGAATAAAATAATTGAATCGCCACGTAGGTAAAAGTAGCGAATAAGATATGGTATTTATCTTATAAAATTTTAATGTCACATAAAAAAAATTGTATCGCCACGTAGGTAAAAGTAGCGAATAAGATATGAAATTTATCTTATAAAATTTTAATGCCACGTGGATGAAAAACCACAAATTTTATTTATCATTATCTTTATTTATCTTATAATAATTTTCATCTATCATTATCTTTGTCTTATAATAATTTTTTTTAAAAAAAAAAATCTCTTAAAAAGAAAAGTGCACAAATTTTACCAACGTAATCTAGCTTGTGACACTATATCACAAATACTAAATAATACCTCCGAAAAAATTATATTTAAATGATAAAGTATCATTATAAGATAAATTTTGATAGTGTTTATAATAAGAAATTAAAATTGTTCATTAATCATAATTAAATTAAATTTTTTTATACCTTCTGTTATAAATTGACACATATACGACACCAACAAAATTTCATATTTATACAAAATTCGCATCTAGAGAATTTTGTATTGGTAATTTTGTGTCAGTTTTAGGTCATCAATGGTAGGGTACTTTTTAGCTTAATTTCATATGTTTATGTTTTGTTTGAAGAATTTCGTTTTTACATGCAGATTAGAGAATTAAATTCGAGCAAAAATGATTAAAAATTCAAAGTACGAGTTTTTCACCTATTTGATGTACTAAATTTCCGGAAACAAAATAGCTTAATAAGTTTGGATATGGTAATATTGGACGAAGAGGTATTTTTAAAAACAAATATTGTGATTTGGATTGCATAATCAACTTATTAAATTAATTTAATTTCTTATTTTTAATTTCAGGGTGATTACACAAGTTCATGCCTCAATTTAAAGCCAATTGTGTTCAACATTTTCGTCCAAACTTGATTGAAGACTATGAAATGTTTACTCTATTAGAAACTTTTCAGTCGTTCCAAATAATAAGCAATATCGAGTTGTCATATCGACAACAAAATAATGATTCAATAATTAATGATGAAAAAATTCCAATGCATAGATTTGATTTTATACATTTACAATTTTTAGATCTATTTCACAACAATTATATCGATATTTTTTATTAGGTTTTAATAATATTCTTACATATATTTATGTGTATCTAATAATTTTTTTTTACATTTTGCTTATGTGTAATTTTTTTTAATGTTCTTATTGAAATATTTATTAGGAAAAACAAGTTTATGTAAAGCTTTGGAATAATATTTTGTTGAGCATACGAAACAGAAAAATCAACTTAAGTTTGTTTTTTTTAAAAAAAAATTATTCTTATTCATTAGTCAAGTATGCAAAACTTGAATTTGTTAAATTGAAATAAACTATGAAAATATTATCTCATTCGTCGGGTGGTTAAATAAAATCATTTAGATCGATCAAAAGATTTTTTTAATCTATTAAAAAAAATTAATTTTTTTAATTATTTTTTAAAAATATTCTACTTCTAATATAAAAGATAATAAGAATTACAAAATAATATACAAAATGAAATACAAAAAAACTGTGCATCGCACGGGCTTACATCTAGTATTGTTTATTATTGGAAGAAAAAGAACCTCATGCTTAGAGTAGATCGCTTCAAGTCGGTCGATTTACTAATGAGCATTTTTATCTTAATTTATATGGGTAGAGTATATTTTGTTTTTGCCTTTCATTTGAGACTACTTCCAATTCTTCATATACTCACTTTCTTCTTCCTAGTTTACACGATTTATGACCAAATCTCTTTGAAATATTATCTTCTTCCCCTTTTTTTTAGGGTAAAATTTACAGTAACATGCAATATAATGTGACTCAATAGTTAAGTCTTTAGTGATATACATTGATATCTCAGGTTCAAATCATACATGAACTAAACATTTAGTAAAAAAAATTACAATGTGAACTTGTGCAATAAAAGTCCAGGGAAAAAAATAATAACAAATACTAAATATACATACGATAGATATGATTCTTCATGATGCTCTATTACCCCTCTTTTCATACATTTTCCCCCAAATTTGCTATTTATTGCAAAATCTCCAAACTTAATAATAAAAAACACTAAATCCTTCCTGCCCCTAATTTGACTACTTCATTATATGCTTGAAAGTTGAAACCTTGCCTGATTCAAAACCTAAACAACCACAATTATAATTTATTGTGGACTCATGGTGGATTAAAATATAGCCCAATACTTGTACACTTCCTTTTATGACCATATCAGTTAAAATATCTAAATTGATAAATTACCATTTCTTTAACTTCAAACATCCTTTAAAAAAATCCCGTTAAAAAAAAAACTAATTAACTTTTAACGAGTTTTTTTTTTTTTTTTTTAACTTTTTTTTAACTTTTAACATCCTTTAACTTTTAACGAGCTGAATGTAACAAGTATAATTACATACAATTTTGCCACATGTTAATTAGAATGCACAATCAATCAATCTCATAAATAGGGTTGACTACATGAACCAAATATGATTATTCCATGTGATGTGGCCGTCCACAAAAATCTTCCTCCTCCATCCCTTACGATCCAATACCTCATCCTCATGTAAGTTCATATTCTTCTTATCCTTCTTAACTCCTTTCAATCAAGTCATTTTTGGTCTCCCTCTCCCTCATTTAACCCCTCTATGGTCCCACCTTCCACTCTTCTTACTGGTACACTCTCGATTGTCGTCTTAGATGCCCAAACCAACGCTGACGATTTTCCCTTAGTTTGTCTCCAATGCCTGCCACACCTACTTTCTTGTGAAAAACATCATTTCTAATTCTATCTCTTAAAGTGTTCCCACACATCCATGAAAAAAAAAATTCCAAATGCTTGTACCTTATAGTCACGTTCAAATAGTTGCCTCAATTAAGTTCTTTCCCAGAAAGTTCACTAGAAAAAAAAACAAGCCATAAGAAGATAATTGGAATTTGCTCCATATTAGGCATACTAACACATTAAACTCCAATACATGTCGCAATTGCTTGTAGTGATGTCATGACTCATGACATATATTTAACAAAATTATTTAGGAGATTTTGTAATCAAATTCCACTTGCTATTACCATGTTTCATGTCTAGATGACGTTTCATAACAACTTTGCAAATTACAACATCAATACACTAAGATTTTATATGCTTTTATGCATCATCATTTTTAACTTTCTATACTTTAGACTTTGACCATCGTCATTTTTTCACCTATAAACAAATTAGCTGATTTGACTTTGAATTGAACATGAATAACCTTAAACTTAGCCCTCCACAACAGAAATATCTAAACAAATTTTCATCCAAAAACATTTTCTTTAAGTTTAATAAGAACAAAGATGTTCGGGGTAAGTTTGTAATTACATCTTATAAGCTACATGTAATATTTTTTGGGAAAAAAAAAGTTACTTTGTTTATATTATAAATATGTATAACGTTGATCGTATTATAACTGTTCGTACAGAATAATGCCAGTCTCAATCAAGGAAACATTAGTAACCTATATAGGGAGCAAACGAGAACCTACTGCATCTATTGTAATTAAGTAGAGCCTTCCTTACTGACATGAACTAGACAACCACCAAAAAACAAGCCATCTGAATCCTTGCTGTTAGTATACATCTGTACTCCCTGTGCAATCTCTAATCTGTTTGTAATTAATAAGTGCCGACATTCTGGCACTCTAGGATTTGATCAGAATATAAGCCGGTGATGAATAACAAAACTAGAGTTGATGCTAGTAGAATCTTTTATCAATTGAAGTGTTGAGCCAACCTGATTACTCAAGTAATATGTGGTGTTGTGGTCTTTATCTGCTCAGGCGGAATCAACAGGAAGACACAACAGCATCATCAGAGCAAAGAAAAGCCTTCCTCTAGACACAGAGTTCTAGTGTCTAGCATGAGTTGCTGAAGAAGAGCTGGATTACTGGTGACAACAGCATCAACACTACTAATTAGCATATCCTGCATCGAAACCATGTCATCCACCGTCCAAGCATAGATTTTTTTGTTTCTCCTGCCAAACCGATACAGTATTAGTCAAGCAACAAGGGCACAATTGTATGTACAAGGCGGTTGTGTAAAGTTGACCGACAAAACTTGTCAACATGCTTACCAGTGAAGGATTTGGACAAGCTTTTCATCAATTAGTGGATGATAAACCCCAACAATTCCCGCCCTTTTCATCCTCAGCAAATTGGATCGAAACCCAGTTTTTGGATCTTTCATAACGATATAACCAACCTACAGAAAACCACAAGATGACATCAAAAATTCAAAATATGACCTATGACATAGATAAGAAAAGGACCTTAAAAGGCTAACAGAAGGAATT